ATTGTCATTATTGAATTAAGCTACATGTCTTTGTAAAGCTAAAATCAGCTTTTATAAAATGTTTCGGTAAGTATTTGAATGTTTTCAGAGCAGAATCTATCATTTAGCCTCAAACTGAATGTTATAGCATGTAAAGTTAAAAAGAAGTATATTCTACATTATAATAAATTAGGATTTTCATCTTGTACAATTAAATTCCAGTTCATGTTGCCACATATTCAAAAAATAAAAGAGATACATCACCTGAACACTGTTATTTTAAATGACATCACATGACTAGAAAGAATAAGATGTTTTGTACGAAGTTGAACCATTTTCAAATCCTCCTGGCTTTGGAAAAGCGTGGGACAATCAGGGAGCAAGCTGCCAGTATGTAATTTTAAACACTTAACTTGGACAATTCAGTTGGAAAATAACCAAGCAGGTGTAACAGTGATGCATTTGTAACAATAATTAAACAATTAGAGACTTTGGTTAATACTGTTGATAGTAAAGTGCAGTGTGCAAAAATCACTGTGACAGCTTATAATTATATATTCTTTGAGTAGCTTTCAACGCACAGGATGGATGTATGGGGCTATAGATTCTTAGGAAAAAAAAGTGGTGTGGTATTTGCAAATTAACTGAATTCCATTTTTCCTTTTTTTTCATTTTCTTCCTTTTGTCCAAGTTTCCTTCTCTAGCCAATGGTTATAACATGAGATTCAGTTATAAATTGCATTTGGTTTTTTTCAAAGTTTAATAACTTAAGCCAGTAGTGTGCCTCCAAATTAACTCCATTTACACGAACACTGCTTGAAATTCTGACATAAAACATAATTATTTTAGGAAGTTAGTAAGAAAATTAACTGAAATTTTCATAAAAGCAAAATATGGTGATCACTGGTAATCTCAGATAAGAACAGAAATTGTAGGAAATACTCAGCAGGCCATGCTATTACAGAGAGGAACACAGTTATTGTTTTGGTTTGTTCTTTGATCTGAACTGCAGAAAGTGTCATTAGCTAAGGGTAGTGAGCTCGGAATATGAGTGGGATAGAGATTTCAAATTGCAAGTGACTAGAAGATAAAGTTCGGGCTTCTAGGACTGTTTGTGTTCTTTGACGGGATCATTAGGAAGGTGAGAAATTGTTGCCCATCTGTAATTGCTCTTGAACTCAGTGACTTGCTAAGCCATTTCAGAGGGCAGCTAAAGGCCAACTGAGTTGTTGTGGATCTTTAATCATATGTAGGCCAGACCCAGGTAAGGACATCAGATTTCCTTCTATAAAGGATATTATTGAACCAAATGGATTTTTACAAGAATCAGACAGCTTCCTGGTCACCATTATTCGCACCAGCTTTACATTCCAGATTTTATTAATTGAAATTAGTCTACCTGAGCCATAGTGACGTTACAGTCATCAAGGTATCTGCACTATTCACCCAATCTGTGTTCAGCCTCTCCAATATAACACATGGCGACTAACAAATTCAATATTCACAGTAAATTGAATCGCTGTGTGGAATTTAATGAGCCCCATCTGGCTTTCCCCACTCATTCTGGAGGTGGAGATGGGGTCTGTGATTGGATGGCAGGATGCTGCATAGAATTCCCGTCACCTTCCTGCTTTCCCTCCCTGGTTAAGTCAAGGGAATCAATGCTAGTCAGGCCTTTGCCACCCAGTTGTCAATAAGATGCCTTTGAATCGTCACTTAGAGATTTCATCGTGCTTCCATTGGGCAGCACACCTAGCTCTGGGGAGACCGCCCAGCAGATCCTCTCAGATTTCCTTGAGGCACGTGCCTAATCAAGGGATCAGGAATTGAAGGTCCACACAGAAAGCCACCTCCTTACCATGCTGTAAGCCCTCTGCCCACCCATTTCCTGGTTGGTACTCCACTCCACATATTACCTGCTTACCTTTCTCCAGAGGATCCATCACCAAGCTTCTGGCCCCTCTGATTGACCAGCAGATCTTCAGGTAGGATTTCAGTCCCATATTGGGAAATAAAGGATATTTGAGTCTCTGTATATTGAGAAGGAAAGATGTGAAAGGGTGGATGTTACCTCACTTGGGCTTACATCAGAAGATTATAGAATTTTGGGAGGAGAATCCTAAATTGAGGAGAATGGAAGACATGGGGAATTTTTGTCTACTTTTGGATGATGGAAGTTCATTTCCCTAATAGGGCAACGACTCACAAAACTATGTGAGAAATACATGGGATTATTCAATGATGAACCGTCTTAGTTGCAAACAATCATCTGATACCACACAGTTCCATTCGAAGACTAGAATATCAAAAGTAGTTTGGACTGGATCAGAGAGGCCTAAGGCTTGCCTGGGAGTTTTCACTTCTTCAACATTGAAATTTGTGCTGCTTGCCTCATCAGCAACAACCCTCAAGTAAATCTCAGAAGGGGAAACGCAGCAAGCACTTAGGGCAGAAGCCACAATCACTGGGAATATAGTCAGTGGAAGAACTTCTACTCATCCTGGCTCTCAGAAGGTTTCGTCAGAAGGAAACAAAAAGCACTGGGGCCATTGAAAACCTTGGAGACTGTCTTGTTTATTGGTGCCTTATTTTGTAATGGAGTCCTTCAAAGGATGCCGACTCCAAATTAACATATTGAAGAGCTCTTCCTTCTGTTTTAGGAGTCTACTGGTTACTGGATAGGACATCTTGAAAATTGTACCCAGTGTCTTTCTAGATTGAAGTTAGGATTGATATCTCATTTAACTACTGGGGAATGTGACTTTCTGTGGAGTCTTATCTATATAAACCATATATTGCCCATACTACAAAATATCCCCTCGTTTTCAGCTGAATCTCTGTTGGCTGTCAGCTCCAAATAAAGTGGCATCTGATGTTCTCTAAAAATTTGAAAATCCAAAGGAAGTCAATATAAATTTCACATTATCTTTGCTCTGGGCATTATAAAGTAAATAGCTTTTACTTTTGAGAATGCAATTTCATGTCAGACGAGTTTAGGAGAATCAAAATCTCTTAAGTCACTTTTCAGAATCCCAGTGTGCACAAATATATACATCTTTAATTCAGTTTCTTATGGAAATTGGGCATAAAAGAGCACAAATTAAACAACATTGTCATTCTCACTCAAAGGTGCCACAGAGATGAGTGGTGTGCGGATTCGTTAAACATGTATTAAACCGGAATACTTCTCCAAGATTATGGCTAAAGCAAATTGAGAGCTTCACTTTTGTAACACACTATCTTACCTGAAATCGCTTGATGCTAACAATGGGGGTTAAAATTTTTTAATATATTGGTAGCATTTCTGACTGAGAAAACTAGATCAAAGATCAATGAAAAGAATACGTATAAAGGTGAGGTCATTCAAAAAGTCATTATGTGATGTCAAGCTTGACACTTATGGACAGAGTTTTCACTTTGGATATGATTAGGAATTGGGCTGCAAATTGCAATAGTTTTGTGAATTAAATTTTCCATTCAAGTTTCTACTTGAACTCATTGTCATATCAATGAATGTAAAATCTTCCTTGAACCAACATAATCAGGCAGCATTTCAGAATGTAATTTTTTTTGTCATACGTATGACAAATCGCACAGAGACAAATCATTCAGTACATGTTGGTGTTTATGCTTTCTTTAAGCATCATGTGTTTGTTCACTTTCCCTTTGAAAGCACCTACACTGTTGGCCTCAACCATTTCATGCAGTAGTGAGTTCTCACTGCTCTTTAGGTAAATAGATTTTCTCTGAATTCACAACTGGATTTCTTCATGGCTACTTTATCTTGTTGTCCTCAATCTATACAAAAGCCTGGTTCAGCCACATCTGGAGTATTGTGTCCAGTTCTGGTCACCTCATTACAGGAAAGATGCGGAAGCATTGGAAAAGGTGCAGAGGAGATTTACCAGGATGTTGCCTGGAATGGAGGGAAGGTCTTACAAGGAAAGGTTGAGAGAGCTAGGGTTTTTCTCTTTAGAACGACGAAGGATGAGAGGTGACTTGATAGAGGTGTACAAAATGCTCAGAGGAATAGATAGAGTAGACAGCCAGAGACTTTTTCCTAGGGTGGAGGTAGCTTTTATGAGGGAACATAGTTTTAAAGTGAAAGGAGGTAGATATCGGGGAAATGTCAGAGGTACGTTCTTTACTCAGAGAGTGGTAGGGGCGTGGAATGCATTGCCGGAGAGGGTAGTGGAGTCGGCCTCATTAGGGGCATTTAAGCGGCTATTAGATAGGCATATGGATGATAGTATAAGGTAACGGTGGAGGTTGGATAGACCTTAGGTTTAGGGTAAAAGTTCAGCACAACATCGTGGGCCAAAGGGCCTGTACTGTGCTGTACTGTTCTATGTTCTATGTTCTAATCTATGCTGAGGAAGCATTCTCTCATTTAATCTCTAACAAAACCTTTCTCAATTTTAAACACCTCCATTAGTTGACCTCTGATCTATCTACTTTCAAGATCCTTTCCTAATACAGTTTTCTGCTTTCCTTCTTGTATAGCACTTCTTCATCCTTCCCAGTTCCTCAACTATTTTTAAAAAACTTGTTGACAATAAAATATTCTAATTGTGGTCAAACCAAGGTTTGATACAAGTTTATTAGAACTTTCCTACACTTCAATTCTATCCCTGTAGAAATGAAGCAAAATTCTTGGTTTACTGGATTTTATGGCCTTGCTGACATGTGGTGCAATGTTTATTATTTGTACTCAGAGATCTCCTTGTTCCTCTGTTTGGTACTATGATACATTCATCCGTGTTGAACATCATTTGCCAATTATTTGTCTAATCTTCATGCTGATGTAATCCTGTAATTTGTTGAAGGCCTGTTCAGTATTCACAATCCTCCAACTTTGTTGTCATTTGCAAAATTAGAAAGTGTGTCTTAGATTGTTCATATAAATTGTACAACTTATTTAATTTCAACAAAATTGTGTCGGTATAATTCCACCAATCGGTAAGAATTAAGCTATTTCTGTTGGTGTAACAATGACACATCTTTGTTGTCATTCCTTGCAGGAAACCAAAATCAGCTGTTTAAGACTGGCAACTAAAGGTAAGAGAATATCATTCTCTTTTGTTTCCATTGTTCAAAACCAATAACTAGCATCATATATAACAAGAAAACATCTTTCTACCATACTTGAAAGACATGTGGAGAGAGAAATTCTCAATCAGTGCTTGACTAAATTGGTTGTTTAAGTGGCATGTTAGTATCCTGCATGAATTTATTTTGTGATTACATTGCCTGCTATCTTCAGCATTTATGGATCATACAGTCTCTATAAACTATTTGTTTTACATTGAGTTGCTGCGGTCATTGTATTGTCATTTTTGTGCATGATTTAACAATATTAATTGTCTAGAAATTTAGAAGTCTGCATCCAGATGTCAACTATTAATTTCTGAACATTTAGCCCTATTTAATTTGTAGGTTTCATGATCCTACTAGTTACATTTAATGAAGTGAAATGCAAATCGAAACCTATTCAATCATTTTCAGCTATTATTTTTTGGCTTAGACTATATTATGTGCTGTCTTTTTTCATTGCATAGATTATTTAAACATTGCCTGTTTATGAATGTCACTATCTCTCTTTAGATGTGGGACACAGTATTGACACTTTATTAAGCAATTTGAAGGCAAAATAATAAGTCTATTTGTATTAAAACCAACTATGTAATTTATTCTTTTAGAATTAAAATTGGAGACTGAGGTATCATTAAAACTTTAATCTGAAGTAATTATTCATTTCTCTTGGGGTTTCCAGTTTTATTTTGTAGAAGGGGGGTGTAAGATATTATCAAAGGATATTTTTGCTTGGTAGACTCGCTTCTTTCTTTTTCTTCTTATGCATGCTGACCTGGAACTTTCCCTTTGTCTAAACGGTAATAGGTAGGATACAAATAACTACACCATACATACTTGTCATCCCAAGTGCAGGTGATTATCTACTCTGAAGTCAAAAATGTTAATTCTTCTCCAATCCTATGAAAATTGTTGTTTTGAAATGTTATCTGCAAAGTAACTCATATTCTTACAGCTTTAGTGAATGTTTTGTGTTGAAGGAAATATTTTGACCTACAAATAAAGAGTCTGCTGATAGTGCAATAGATCAATGCACTGGAAGATTTAGTTATGGTTCATAGAGATCAAAAAGATGCCAGGTTCAATGCGGAAGAGTTAAAGCCTTACAGTCAGACCTAAATTCTCCTGAAAGGTGGCCTTGCTGGAAAGTGCAGGTGTGTGAATATTGTCTGCAGGCAGGATTGAACTTCACTGTACCACCTACAAGTTCAATCACACCAATATTCACCATCTAGCTGGATGGAGGCAGCTTGGCTGAGATACCAGTGTTGTGCCAACACCTATGGAACTATACCCTTGGGAGTCACTAGCTACAGGAGACAATGTGACTATTGTGTGACTATAAAATATGCTGAGTAAATGATGTCAGCATTCTGACATTTAATGATAGATAGGCTTTTCAAGTTAAGGGGCAGAGCTTCATTCATTTTTGGGAATTCAGGTATGAATATTGACTTCTCCAGCATGTTTCACTGTCTATTCATTTCAATGTTTTCAATGTTACATTTAACTCATAAAACTTTGCAACAACTGCCAGAAATCATAAAATATATGTATTAAGAGCATAGTTTTTAGAAAAACAGCTAATTATATTGTTTAAATGTGGGTGATGTGAACACCTCTTGACATTTAATGTTAGGGCCAACTAAATCTGGGGTCTCAGCAACATGGTCTGGGGTGAGATTAATGGCAGAATCAGAGGACTTATCTGGAAGAACCTATATCAATGACGGGAGCGACTCAATAATCATTTATGCTTTTCACAAGCAGCGTGGCAAGTTTCTTGCTAGACAAAGCAAGTTGCCAAATAATGGTGATTATTGCTTGTTAAATACCTTGTTAACAACCCAGCCTGCTTCATTAATATTCAGCTTCCTTTCTTACCAAGCACAAAAAATCTCAATGTGGAAATCTGAGTGGGTACCTGGTGAATTCGGCTCACTGCTTGCTTCAAAGGGCCTCCATGTTTTATGTGTTTATTGGATGTGATTGTTGCTGGCTAGGCCCATCCCTAATTGCCCAGAGGGCAGTTGAGAGTTAACCACATTGCTGTAGATCTGGAGTCACATATAGGCTAGCACTTCCACAAAGGATATTAGTGAATCTGATAGGTTTTTACAACAATAGATAGTTGTTTCATGCTCCACTGTTTGTCTGCTTAAGAACAGCAGCATCTCAGTGCATGATCCATGGGCACCAGCTGCATGCACCTCTCAGCCAATGACTTTGACATCTGACATTTGCCAACCTCTCTTAACTATCGTGCACCTCTCTGATACATCCTGGCAGGCCACTCCGGAAGGACAGCTTTGCATTGCAGAGCATACCAACAAACACCATGGAAAGGCTGCAACAGGAACACCTTATGCACATGGACAGGGATGTTGCTCGCTGATTGGACCAGATGATAATCTCAGTCCATTTCTGAAGAAGGGTCTAGGCCCGAAACGTCAGCTTTCCTGCTCCTCTGATGCTGCTTGGCCTACTGTGTTCATCCAGCTCTAGACGTTGTTATCTCGATATCTCAGTGCTGCTCGCTTCCTCATATAGCATCTACCTGGATGCTTGCAGCATCCCTTACCTTGCCATGCCTTCACAGTGCAATCACAGAGTGAGGCAACTTGCCTTGACAGTAGACCTCAGTCAAGGGGGCATGCATCTTGCTGTAAGGCAGTGTTCTATGTCAATCTTACCCCTACTTCATGCGCCAGCAGCTTACACAGCAAACACACTGCACATGCAGCAGACAAACGTCCACAGCTCAAAGTCTTAAGGGAGTAGTCCTCATTAAAGTCCATTGAGGCAGCTGCCAGTTAGAGGGTTCCAGAACAGTAAATTAAGAGCAGCCTCCCATACTAGCCCAGGGATTGACCATGGCAGGCATCCGGTTGGGGTGTTCTCAGTCAGAGCGTCCATGTCTCTGCAGTCCAGGGAGTGGGTCGTAATGAATCCTGTGGCTCCATTGTGGTCAGTCCAGGGGGTAGGGCTAACATGGCTGGGGAGATGTACAGCTATCAGTCAGGTCTAGGCACGCTTCATCTGGAACAGTCTGATGATGTTGCTCAAGGGTGGGCCATGGTCAGTCCATTGGGTACAATGATAGAAGTTAAAGGGAAAGTGGGGGAGGATAAGGGAGTCTGCTGCTACAGAAATGAGACTGGGGAGTCTATTCTTCAGGATTGAAGGCTGAGACCACAGGGTCAAAGGGGATGACAATTGTGAAGGGTGGGGCAACAGTATCTGCAAGGGGGCGAATACAGTAAAGGAAGGGTGGGAAAGGAATGAGGGTGGGGGTCATCAACAGTCAGGTGCACTCTAGCTTTGAGAAGATTACACTGTATGACCACAGCTGGCATACGGCTGAGGGGGAAATGTGCGCAGGTACAGGCTCACTAGACATGTTCAGTGGGGACCTGGGGAGTTGCAAAACCAACTGGGGTTCTTAGCAAGGGTGACCAGGAAGGGTGTATGGATCGGAAAGAAAGTGCTGGATAAAATCAGATCTGGCAGCCTCTGTGGAGACAGAAACAGAGTTAACTTTTCAAGTCCAGTCTTACTCTTCTTCAGAATTGTGACTTCAGCGGCCATATCGTCTGCTCCACCATAGCTCTGGTTGAAATAGAGGCATTCCATATCAGTCAGGGCCTTGTGCAATAGTATCTTATCAGCAATGATTGCAGCGAGTCATCCTGGTCACCCAGTAACCAGCTTTGTAATACACCAACTATGCGAGAGGGTCCCAGAATGGAGGAGTTGTGCAACTGCCAGGGTAGTCGGCACATGCCTCCAGCAAGTGGTAATGGTGACCACAAATTACATGAACGTTAATCTAATTGAATTCTTAAAGTGATATGCAAGTGAGGCAAGGATGATGTGAGAGAAAAATTTTCCCACAATGGTTAGTTAGAGTTTGGAATATACCGCCTGGAAATGTAGTGGAGACAGATTGAACTGAGACACTCCAGAGGGCATCTGATGATTATTTGAATAGAAATGGTATGCAGGGATATGGGGATATGCAGGAGATTGGCAGTAGAGCCAGTGCAGACATGATAGGCTGAATGGTTGCCCTCTGCATTATAACAATTCTGTGATTCAAGGATTCTGTGAGCCCCTTCCTCGTGACAATTCCTCAGTGTTGGGACACAACTCTGTCACAACCTTGGCTTTGGGAGAGTAAAATGAACTGGTGTGACCTTGCATCAGACATTGTCCTGATTGATTCGTGTGTGCACAACATTTTTCCGACAGTGTCCTGTGACATACTGAGGCTGAATCAACAGAGCACCTCACTTATCCTAAGGAAATGAAGTCTGGGCTGAAAAGCTCTGAGTCTCCAGTGGATTCCATGCATCCTGAAGGCTGCAACCTCTCCTCAAGCTGGCTGCTCCTCATTCTCTGCAGTGACCTGCTGCTACTCCTTGGTTTGCTTCAGCCCTGATCCTTCTGAATCTGCCATTGCTTCCTTAGGAAGGAAACCGCAGCAATGAGCATTCCACCAGCAACTGGACATCAGACTCTTGGTGGAAATGACCTACACCAAGTGTGGAAAAAGACAAGTCTCCAAAGAGTTATTGGTGGCGTACTCTGCGGATAAGGCTGCACACACTCTTCCACACAGTGAGACATGTTGCATGCTGACCATGAGCACCATGTCTCCATCTTTCATTCATCTCCAGCCTCAGCATGTCCACCAACTTGGTGAAGGGACTGCACTGGCTTTCACTTTTCACTGCGTTCAGTACAGACCATCACTAAACTTGCTGACAGATGATGAAGTGATGGTGTGTGCCTCCCACAACACTCTTGAAAGTTGCGTGACTAATGGTTTGCATCTGTCCAGCATTCACCTCTTTTTTTTCCCCTAAGATTGGCATCTCAATGATGCTGAAGGTAGCAGCAATGTTCAATATGCAAGCTCCAGTGGCAGGACACAAATTGCCTTTGACCAGCATTCAAATTCTAAACATGTTCACTCTGCCTGAATAGCGAGTAGACAATGAAATGACTGCAAATTAGATGTAGCAATTGCCTGCTTCATGTATTTCTCACCTCAGTGCCCAATCATCCAGCAAAGGTGGATCCCATACTTCTGACAATCAAAATGACAATGACTCTGCGCACCCTGGGTGTTGATCCAGCCATTTTCCTGTTGCATTTCACATCGAGAGAATGATAAGTGATGGCAGTGAACACGGCTCATGGTGGACACCATGAGCACTGGCCCCTGCCCAGCCACCAAGTACACCTCACCAGAATTTCCATGTCCACTTTTACTTTGCACTACCCTAAAAGTCCACTTCCACCCATTCCCCCAATGAGGACACACACAGCACTGAACATGTGCCTACCATTGTGCACAAAGGAGTGGCCTTGCAGCAGCCTTTTTGTGCTGAGGTACTGATGTGTCCTGGAAATCTGTTGCTTCCTAAGTGGCCTATGAGTGGATCAGAGTGGTGCCATGATGTTTGTGAGGTTTAGCAAATGTTAGACACCAAGAGTGGTGTGTGTGTGGATCAGGCTCTGAGGTACTGAGCAAATGGAGGCTGTTTGCAGTCGGTAATGAGCTGAAGTCATTAGGTACCCACTTTGACATCCGTGTTGAGAATTCCCAACATCTAGCTTGTTCAGTGTCTTTGTTAAGATCAGAAGCCAAGTATTTACAAGGCGAGTTACAGCATTAATAAGTTGTTTATCAAACTCTAATCTCCCTTAATCAATAACTTGCTGCTGCCCAGGAGAAGCTCAACTCACCAATTTTCAAAGGTATAAAAGCAGCAGTGAAATGCTCCCAATGTCAAGATAGGCCTCTCAAACTTCTCATCTGAATTTGTCACAAATCCTGCTGTAGCCCA